TGGCTTCACTGCTGAATTCTACCAAACTTACAAAGATCTAACACCAATTCTTCTCAAACTATTCCAAAAAAATGAAGAGGAGAGAATTCTTTCTAACTCATTCTATGAGGCCAGCATTACCCTTACACCAAACTAAGACAAGGACAAAACAACAAAAAAAGAAAACTAAGGTCATTATCCCTGATGAACACAGATGCAAAAATCCTCAGTGAAATACTAGCAAACGGAATCCAACAGCACATCAAAAAGATAATACACCATAATCAGGAGAGATTTATCTCAGGGATGTAAGGATAGTTCAACATATGCAAATCAATAAATGTAATACATTACATCAACAGAATGAAGGACAAAAACTATGATCATCTCAACTGACACAGAAAAAGCATTTGATAAAATTCAACATACCTTCATGATAAGAATTCCCAACAAACTAGGCATAGAAGGAACATACCTCAACATAATAAAGGCCATATAGGACAAACCCACAGTTCACATCATACTGAATGGGGAAAAGATGAAAGTCTTTCCCCTAAGAACTGGAACAAGACAAGAACGCCCACTTGCACCACTCCTATTCAACAGAGGATTGGAAGTCCTAGCCAGAGCAATCAGGCAAGAGGAAGAAATAAAAGGCATCCAAATTGGAAAAGAGGAAGTCAAATTGTTCCCCTTTGCAGATGACATGATCTTATATCTAGAAAAACCTAAAGGATGCACCCAAAAACTTTTAGAACTGATAAATGAATTCATTAAATTTGCAGGACACAAAATCAATGTATAAAAATCAGTAGCATTTCTATACATCAATAATGAACTAGCTGAGAGAGAAATAAAGAAGGTAATCCCATTTACAATAGCTACAAAAAAAAAAATGCCTAAGAATAAATTTAACTAAGGAAGTGAAAGACTTCTATAAGGAAAACTACAAAACACTAATGAAAGAAATTGAAGAGGACACAAACAAATGAAAAGACATCTTTTGTTCATAGATCAGAAGAATTAACATCCTTAAAATGATCAAACTACCCAAAGCAATAATCAGATTCAATGCAACTGCTATCAAAAGACCAATGTCATTTTTTACAGAAATGGGGCAAAAATCCTAATATTTATGTAAAACCCAAAAAAGAGCTTGAAGAGCCAAAGCAATCCTGAGCAAAAAGAACAAAGCAAGAGGCATCACACTACCTGACTTCAGAATATATTACAAGGTCATAGCATAGCAACCAAACTAGCATGGTATTGGTATAAAAACAGACACATAGACCACGGAACACAGCATCCGGAAGTAAATCCATTTATTTCTAGCCAACTGATTGTCTACAAAGGGGCCAAGAACAGATATTTAGGAAAGGACATACTCTTCAATAATTGGTGCTTAGAAAATTGGATATGCTTCTACAGAAAAATGAAATTGGAACCCTAGCCATCACCATATGCAAAAATAAACTCAAGATGGAGTAAAGACATAAACATAAGACCTACAACCAAAAGCTACTGGAAGAAAACATAGGGTAAACACTTTAGGACACGGGTGTAGGGCAAGAGTTTATGGCTAAGACCTCAAAAGCACAGAAAAAACCCCACAAAAATAAGCAAATAGGACTATATTAAACTAAAAAACTTCTGCACAGCAAAGGAAACAATAAACAGAGTGAAGAGACAACCTGTTTAATAGGAGAAAATGTTTGCAAACTATTCATCCCACAAGGGAATTATATCTAGAATATATAAGGAACTCAAACAACTCAAGTAATCCCATTGAAAAGCGGGCAAAGGAGATGAATAGACACTTCTCAAAAGAAGTCATATAAATGGCCAGGCACGGTGGCTCACGCCTATAATCCCAACACTTCTGGAGGCTTAGGTGGGAGAATTGCTTGAGCCCAGGAGCTCAAGAGCAGTCTGGGTAACATAGGGAGACCCCATCTCTACAAAAAATAAAAACAAATTAGCCAGGCATGGTGGCATATGCCTGTGGTCCCAGCTACTTGGGAGGCTGAGGTGGGAGGATCATCTGAGCCCAGGAGGTTGAGGCTGCAGTGAAGAGTGATCATGCCACTATACCACACTCTGGCCAACAGAGTGAGACCTCGTCTCAAAACAAAACACTTTTTAATAAAATAAAATTTTAAAAACCACAAAATATTACATATACTTAATAAA